CTGAAAATATATAAGGCTCTAGGGCTGTCTTAGCAAATCAAAATACTGAAGTTCAGCAGAAGAGGAGTTTTACTTTTGTGATTGTGTTGATGGGAATGGCATGCGTTGCTGTGTTTAAAGTTAGCTGATGAAGCGTGTTATATGCCTTCAAAGATGATTTTTATGTTGATGTAGAAATTCATGCTAGTATCTATTTGTTCGTTGTGAAATGTAGTGAACTAACAGATCTTAATTTCATTTCAGTTTTAATTTGCTTTTGATTCTGAAAACAATGAATCTTGTGAAACCGTGCTCACGTGAATCTGGAGATGTGCCTACATTTTCACATGTATTAAGGCATATTTCTTAATTCCGCCTGCAGGGCTAGATTCTATGACTGCAGCTGAGCCAGAGCAGTGGTCTTAAGCAGATGGTCTCCTTGCAGAATTTCTTTCCTTTCTCCTCAGTAGAAATATGGGATAATGACCAGAAAATCTAGGATCTTGATTTTGTTTCAGACTCCTGCAAGCTCTTACATATTCAGAAGCTTCCTTCCTCCTCACTTCACAAAGTAAGCTTGTTAGTGCCTCAGTACCTTCAGCATAACTCAAGTTCAAGATGTGTCATAGCAGCTTCTCCGGACAAACTCTCATTTCCTGGCTTTTTACTTTAGTGCAGCGGTGGGAATTTGTTTTGCATCAACAGTCAATCTATTGTATGCCTTTCAAAACAGTCTGTTTTCCCTTGGGTTCTTGGGCGCTTAGGTATTAGTAGTAGCTATTTCGAAGCATAAGTTCGTACAGGAAGTGATCAGTGTGGTAATAGTGCATAGCACTGATTTTTCCACTGAATAAATTTGTATAGGAGAGATATTTTTGTCTCTTTTTTTTCTTTCCCCTTCTGAAACAATAAGAAATGTTTGGTCATATAAGTAGCAAATTTACCCGCAGAAAAATGAAGCTATCGTTGAAAACCATAGTAATTCCCATGCATTCTTTTTATTTATTTTTTTTTTTCAAAATAAGTTAGTGGATTCTGTATTGAATGGTTTCCTTTTCACAACTGTACCATACATTTCTTTGGAATTCTAAGTCATCTGTGAAAATCCCTGCCTATATAACAAAGAGCAACAGAAATATGAGTTAGATAAAAAGGTGAAGAAAGCCATGCCTGCAGCAGGTATCTATAAGAAATACAGGGGTACAGGAAGAGGAGCGAAAAGAGAATTCTCTTCAGGCAGTGTTGACGATATTTATTCCTTGCATTTAATTTGAAATTGTCCAAATTACCTCGGTAGTTCATTATGGATCCGTTGGAATGGTTCTTCTGCTAGATGTTTTTCAAGAGTGTTATCAAGGCTCAATTTACAGTCATCACCCTTCGAAAGGCACACAGTCAAAGCGCCAGAGTTAATTGCTATTTAAATGTGCTGTCTGCAGCGTGACACTGCTGGTAGCCAGATCTCATTTTAAATTTTTTTTTAATTTTAACTACAGTATGGGAGAGGAGCCTGTTATAAATACTGAAGTCTAACTGGTTTCAGCGTGGATACAGTTCTGCCTCCATGGCTGACACTGCTTGACATCAGTTAAATTAAAGGCTGGCTGGGCATGTCCTCTCAGCTGCCACCTTGAAGCTGACCTCCAGCTCAAAGATGAGGCTTGCTGACAAGTTAGCAGAGGGAGTCTGTATTGCTGTTGTCATGTATTGCCTATCTGATTGCTCCAAAGGCAAATATGCTTGAGTGCTGAAACAGTCTTTTCAAATGTATATGCCAAAATAGTAATTCGACTGGGTAAATAACACAGCGGTTTAAATGAGTAAGTGTTATTTAGTTGATAAATATATGTTTGACTGAACGATTGAAATGGCTCCCCTGGGTAAGATGAAGAAGTACGCTGTTAAACCTCTCTTTTGTAGATGTTTATAGAGAGGAAATCACAGAGAAAAAAGAAATCAAGTATCCATGGGGTTATGAGATAAATAGACAGAACTCTAGGACAGTCACCCACAGCAGAGATAGTGCCGCTGAGATTTATTTATTCACAATAGTATGAGTTGTTTGGGTTAGTCTTTCTTTCCGGATTTGTCAGTTTGTCACATCTGTAACTTCACTTAAATGCAGCTGATGTTCTTTGAATGCGATCTGCAGTGGTCCATCAAAATGGAAAAGCTTCTAAAAATAGCTGGAGGGGAGTGAGTCAGGCAGCAAGATACATTCTCTACATTAGGAGGTGAAGACTGAAGGGAGCTATAAAAAAGTTTAAGAGTCTCTGGAGACAGAGTTTATAAGTGAAGCTGCTAGTGCAGGAAAAGGCATTGCAAATAAAAAAGCTAGGATGATGTTCTGCTTTTGAGATTTAAAAAAAATAAATGTAAGCCTACTAACTAAGAAAAAATATGTGGTGGTCATATCTACCTTACATTTAATTTCTGTATTTCCAACTTGGGGAGGAAGGAACGTGAAGAGGCCAACGTTGAGAAGCCTAGTATTTTTATGTGACTGCCCTGCATTCCTGGTCTTTAAGGTGAGAGTTTTTTTAATAGGTCGCTGTCGATATTTCTGTTTACCAGGTAGTCACCTGAGAACATCAAGGTCATGACCAGTTCAGGTGCACTGGCTGCATCAAGTCAAGGAGTTGGAACCAAGATGCTCTCACTAGTTTTTGTGTTCAAACCAATGAGAGTAACTTAGTGGGAAGAGAGTCTGATTCAGTAAGGCACAATCTTTAGAGCTCTGATAGCTTGCTGGACTTAAAACTTTATGAGGTGTTAGTTAAACTTGTATTCTAGTACAATTTCAAGCATTTCTGCATTATTTCAGCATTGTAATGTAGAGCCACAAAACCAGGATGTTATGTATTAAATTCTTAAAAAGAAAAATAAGAATTCCTTTCAGTGAGCCGGAGGTGAGGCAGCAGCTGTTTCTCACAGATGTGGCATAGGCTGGATATAGAGCAGAGACGTGTCATACTGCAAAAATAAAGACTTTAAAATAAGAGATTCATCCCCTCTGTTCCATTCTTTGTTGTAGGTTAAGTGTATCTTGATCAGTTGTGATAGTTGCTCATCTAACCTGCTCTTAAAATCCTCTGCTGTGTTGAACCCCTGCAGCTATCACAGTTCTCTTCCCACAGAGATTTTCCTGAGACACTGAAATGTTCCAGAAGGAGTGGTTTGGACAACTAGAAACCAAGTCATTTATGCTGTAGAGGAAAAAAGAGCATCTGTGGGGAGATGCTTCCAAAGATGACGCCAAACTGAACTGAATCATTTCAGTGTCAGGAACCTGCATCATGTCTCTAGGCTCATTGCTTAAAAAGAAACTAAATGAGAAGCAGATTCCAGTGTGGAGGGAGGATGATGATTTCAAACAGATCTAAGCTCCAGATTCCCAGCCATTTTGTATGTGGATTTCAGAAATAGTTTACACTTACTGCCTTCAGTGTTCTTTATGCCAGAGGTTTGCACTAGCTTCCTTGGAGTGGAGCATCTTTGTAGATATGAAATAAACCAAACTAAAAAAATACATAATGCAAATAATTCATTGCGCATAAGGAGTCCATGGACAGTGCAAGAGACACTGGTCTGCTAATCTTCCTGCCTTTATTACTTAACCAGCTTTTATCATAATAATAATGCCTGCTGTAATACTTCCTGCAAATAGCTTTTTCTTTGACCGTTTGACTGTGGATATGCTCATCCCAAAGAGCAAGATTCTTTAGGGTGTGTCGTGGAGTCCACTTAAGTGGACTTAAGTCCATTTAAGTATGCACAGTCTGCTTCCAAAGAAATAACTTACAGAAGAATGTTGAAAAAACCCATCCTCCTTTATTCCCGTAACTTGGAATGGTGAAGTGTAGCACTGTAATCAAAGGAGGTGAAGGAGCCCTCGGTCTTACACTGACTTCCCCGCTCTGCCAGGGATTCCAGTCTAGCGTTCAACAGGTAATTTTGTATGCTCTGCACCTGGTTTTACTGTCCATGCGGGTAAGGACCAATTTGAATTCTAGTGAGATGGTGCCTGACTTCATCGAGGTAGGAACTTTGAAATATCCTCTGCTGCAGTAATCCACTAGAAATGAAGTCATATAGCTTTCAAGAAACATGGCCTGCTTGATATCTGTGTTCTTGGGCAGCTCTGAAGGCACGTTGCTTGACATTCTCAACCATTTTCCCTTTCTTTGCAGCTTCTTCTGCTTGCTTTTTTTTCCTTAGTGCTCTAATGTTGTTAGACCTATTAACACAGAAAATTAAAAAACAAGCAAGTTGCCAAAAACTGCATGGCAGTTGGGATTCAGAGCGTTCTTTTACCATTTCAAAACGCTGCCAACATAATATCTGTTTCATTATGTACAAGTGTAAGTGCTGCTAACATAGATAATTCGGAATCTACAGTTGAAGCCGTGCTATTGCAGTGCTCTCAATTAAAAATAGTCAAGACAGAAAGGCTGTTAGGTAGTTTCCTGCTGGAATTATATGTCAGTCTGTGCCATCCTGTTACATTCCTAAATTTCTGGAATGTATTTCAAAAGTAACTTGCTGTTTACAGAAAATAGCATGAACTCATGAAAAAAAAAGCATTGAGTTTTGAACAAATACTCTCAGGTCGTATCTAAAATATCACTACCATCCAGAGTTTATTGGACTCCTTTACTGTAGAAAACAATGACACTAAAAATTTGTAACCAGTTCATTTAGTAGATAAAATTACCCCTTCAGTTCACCTTTCTGCTAACTTTTTTTTGTACGCTGGTTGCGTACAGGATGCAAGTGAAAAGAGCACAAGGAGGTTCATACATGCTTAAGGGTTGGAGGGATTAGAAGATTGCAGAAGCTTCAAATATAGGGACTGAATTCTTACATTCTGATTGAAACAACGGGCAGATTGCATCAGAACAGGAAAAAAAGGTTACAGTTATATTTAAAAGGTGGCATTCCCGCAGATGTTCATCTTAAATGAATAAAAATACCTATATTAAAAGCAGTTATCCCAATTTATGTTTGCTTTTGTTTTACAGGACCATGGGTCACTAGGAATAGCAGCATAGATAGCGGAGAAACAGAAGTGGGGCGCAGGGTCACCCAGGAAGTGCCCCCGGGAGTGTTTTGGCGATCTCAGATCCATATCAGCCAGCCACAGTTCCTGAAGTTCAACATATCCTTAGGGAAGGATGCTCTTTTTGGTGTTTATATAAGAAGAGGACTTCCACCATCACATGCCCAGGTACTTTGTCAATGTATTTTCTGGCTTTTGATGTCAACACGCAAAGGTTTGGATCATCTGTGTTAGATTTATGTTGGAGCTTTTGGAGGTCAACTTTCGAGATTCCTGGTAACTGCTTAGCATGTGATATTTGAGGGAGCACTCTGATATTAGCATTTCAAAGTTATTATGTACCTCAACGGTACACTGATAAAAGAAGTAATCAATGATGTTGTTGCCATTCAGGTTTTTAACTTGCAGTTTAGCATTCAAGGTTTTAAATCTCTGACAAAATCTTGGAACCAATTGGGATAAACCTATCCGGTTATACACCGGTCAAAAATGATGCGTGGTCTTGGTCAAACTCAGAGTATCAAAGCACCGCATACAGCTGGAGCGCATGCAAAGGGAGATGTGTTAACATGTAATTTTCTGTCTTCGTAGAAGTTTTAATCTCCACAGGCTGTAGGAATGGCATCACTGGGGTACGCAGCAGGCTTTGGCCTGTCATAATAATGCAGTGGCCAGGTGTTTGAGAGCTTTTTACTTTTAGTAGTATTTATCTGGCTCAGGGGCAAGTCTTGCAGTTGGAAAAGCTAATTCTTCTTGGTTTCTAACCAGCCTCAAAGATGAAAACTCAGTAACACTTCATTTTTACAGTGACCCTGTAGTACAATGCTGAGGGCTATAGGTAAAGATGGTTATAAAGTTGGTGGCACCAAAATATGGTATCTTTTTCTTCTAGATTGTGCAGTGGATGTTTGAATTTCTTTGCTGTGAGAAGCTATAGCTATATTTTCTGTTACAGAGAGAAACTTACATTATGTTGAAAAATCGTTAGTGTGAAGGGAAGGATTCCCATTTACTTAGATTAGAACTGTAATGAGAAATAATATATTTGCAGTTACACATACAAAATGGAAAGAGCCTCTGTTCTTTAGAGAGCAAGGGAAGCAGAAATAGCAGCCAACTTTTGGAAAGGACCTCTTCCTTCATGCATATCCTTGCTGCTAAAATGTGGTTCTTTCTTCAGAAATTATCACCTGAACGTAAAATGCTTTATTTAGTGTATGTTTCCCAAAAAAGCAGATATAGAACTCCGCGATCCCTTTTGAGAAAGCCTGATTTAACATTTCTAGATGCCCTATCCTGATTTACAAAGAGCTGCTACTACGTTTTTTTTCTTCATTTGGCAAAGCAAACAGCAATTATATAAATGGTTGCAATGCATGAGCTATGCTAAAAGGCCAGAAGCTTTAGCATAATTCCATTGCTACATATTGCCATATAGGGAAGGTATTTTCATATTGCCTGCAAGGAGATGCCAACCCCAAGTGAACTGCGTCCGTGTACATGCACGAACTCATGGTACAAACAGTGAACAGGTTAATTTTCTGGGGAAAAATACACTTACTGAATTTTGGATCTGCTTCCCAATGCAAGGAAAATTCATAGAATTATTCTGCATTGCCTCTTGTTCCTTGGTGTTTATTCTTGCCTGTAGTCTGAATCAAGAACCAAAATCTTTAAGTAGGCTTGGGAGGGAAGGAGGGGTTTATATGGGTTTATGACCTCTACTTCTAAGAATCTGTGAGCAAGGAGCTTCGACTATCCCAGCTCCTTCAACTTGCTGTAGTGTGCTGTTTTAAAATGTTCTGTGAGTTATTGAATCGATATATCTGACTGTTAAGAAATCAAGATCAGCAGCCCACAACCCAAAGAAGAGAGGGCAAGCAGTCAGCCTTTCACATGGCTGGAGATTAGCATACGGCATCCTGGAGTTCCATACAAAGACCGGATAGAACTGGGAAAGCTGTAGAGGTCTGTTGACTAGTTCTCAGCCATTGCCAGGCATCCGTGCAGCACAAGATATTCACAAAGAATATGTTCCAAAGCTTTTCTTAAAAATGTTTTGATTTGGGCCGCAATGCTCGAATATATTGTCTTGAGGGCAAAGTTATGTCTATGGATCTTTGACTGTTGCAATGAGGTAGTGGCATAATTCATTGAGCCTGTCTCATTTAATTCAGAATTTTGGCGCTCGCTTCCCCTGTCATTCTAGCATGAAAAAACAGCAGTTTAGTTGAGGAAAACAAACAAAAGTGTGAATCATAATGTGAAAATGACTTAGGGCAACCAAAGCTCCTAAGCAATCATCAAGGTTTGCTGTAAATACAAGTTAATGGCAATCGTTGGACCAAGATATGATGAGTGTAGTCTGGTATCTTTTACATGATATCATTTAGATGCAACTGGTAGGATAAAATTATTTTTTTTATTCAAGCTGAACTTTAATTTCCATTGCGTTGTGATCAAATGTATTTTTCTAGGTTTCATTAAGAAGTTCTCATCTGAGAGAGGGCTACAGTCAGGCAAAGTTTCTTTTCTTTCTTTCACTCCACCTTATGTGGATAGGTTATAATTTTTTTTTTGTGACCTTTCTGTTAAATTAAATAATGGGAAGTACCAACTGTGTTTCCTAGTGAGATGAATTCTTCCTCAGGGAACCTGTTTGCTAGTCTTTAGGGGAAGCAATTCCACCCCTTTTCCATAACTGGAGTTAATGAAATCCACCAGTATAATCTGCAGAATTACTTTCCCATATTCATGCAGGGTCCTGGTGCTTGTCAACAGGGTGGTACAGCAGAAGATTGCTTGGCATTTTTGCCCAGCAATCAAAATTCAGCCAAGCTGCTACCAAGAGAAATAATTTTAGAAAAAGAGAAAGACAAGCTGTTGCAGACCTGAGTTAGTGAAAAGAAGACTTGTTCTGACAGAAAGGAGCAGAATGGTTTTGTATTAATGAAAATAGTCTGAAGTTGATGCCAGACAATATTTTCAAATTGAAATTTAAAATCCCTGCATCTGCAGGTTAGGGACATGAGCTGTAAAGCAGTGAACAACTACACTTGACAGTTCATCACTAATCAGTGCTGATATGTCAAGCCAAGTAAAATCCTTTGTGGGAGCAAGTCAATAATCAGCAAATTAGGTACATGATTAACCTGAGACAACAAGATGCAGTTCCTGTCTGAGAGCCCTGCTGAGATTTAACCTTCTCACTATTACTGTTTAGCAAATATTCCAAATGCCTGGTTTAGTCAGTCAAACTGATCCAGCTGTAAACGTGTCTAGAAGCAGCCTCTTGTGCCGTGTGCGCCGGGAGCGGAGCCCTAGAGAAGAGGTAAAAACACACTTTGGAGTGGCAAGCAGGAGCACATTGCTTTCAAGACAGATTCTTCCAACCTGTGTAGTACTAGGTGGAAATAACAAAATGCACATTGCAGGCTTGAATGATCAATAGGGCATTAGTTAGAAGAAAGTCCTATTAATAAAATTGATAATGTATCTAAAATGAACTCTAAATGTCAAATAATGCATGAAGTGACTCTACAGAGATTACAGCAATTAGGATGTTGCTACACACTGGTAGGACTTTCCAAATGACGCATGAAATGAGGTAACCTTATGGAAACATCGCCGTGATGTCTGGAGAAGGCAGTGCATGGAGCCGCACTGTTTTCATTTCCAGCAGAGTATTTTGTACTTAGAAATTTTTCACATCACAATGAAACCTGTTTTCATTTACAACAGGAAATGGCTTTATCTGAAACAGCTCGAATAGTTGGGGAGCTTCGGTGTTACCTTGGTTTTTAGCCACTGTTCAAACACATTTAGGTGCTCTGGCCACCTTAAAGTTGTCTGGTGGCAACTGTGCTGTGAATTTTGAAAGCTGCGCGGCATCGTACGGCTCGTGTTGTTCCACATTCGAACGTCGAAACAAATCGGCTGGCTGTCGCTGCGGGTATCAGATGTTTCATGGGTGTATTTTAATGAATAATTACCAACTGGATTTTATGAAGAACTAATTTTAAAGTGCTTTGCAAACAAGTTTCCCTGGCATGTGTTTTCTTGGCTGCTTAGGTCTTCCAGGGCTTTGGCATAAAGACAAATGCTAGCCACAATGCCAAACGTGGGGTTTTTTCTCTTTTTTTTCTTGTTTGTTTGGTTTTTCCCCCCCTCTGTTTTAATATGCATCTGTTATTAAGGCAAGAGCTCTTTCTTTTCAGTTCCCAATTTAAAAATACTATTGGGGAGGGACATGCAAATAGTTTCAAATCTAGGAAGAACCCCAAAGATTGTGCGGGCTCTTTGTATTTCCAGTCTTGGCCCCTGCAAGCTCTCTGCTTTGCCTGTGGTCTCCCAGGGAGCAACTCCCCCTGTACACAACTGGGCTCAGTGGATCTGTGCTGTGGATGGCATCGTGCAGGGTAGTCACTGCCATATACGTTAAAGCTCCAAAACTGTTTCGCTGACTCCCCGTGGTGATTAGAAAAAGAAAGTTCCTATTAGCCTACGAATGAAATGCGTCGGTGGCTGGAAAGCACTGAATGGAGACATTATAAAAACAAATTGCCCAGAAAGAACTTAGTGTGAGATTTAGGTCTGTAAATAAAAGCATGCAGTAGATTTTTAGTATGCTGTGTAGTAAAAATAAACAAGCTCGCTGAGCAGTTGAATTTGGGTTTTGTTTAGAGAAGTAGGCTGAGAAGTCGTTTGCTTATACGGAGCTTTAATCATAGTAAGTATTCCCCTCTGCAAAATTGAACTCTGAAATGCAGTCATTTGGGATTTCTGGTGCATTTTGTTTCTGAGCAGTTTTTGCCATTTTTGTGTGACTTTCAGTATGAAGCCATGAAATATAAAGGACCATAAAAAAAATAAAAGAGAAAAAGAAAAAAGACAATGAAAGCTCCGTATAACTACAGAGCTCAGTTTGGTTTGACATATCCATTCCCTAATTCATGTGATTTAGTTGTCTTTTCCTTAGCAGTTGTATTAGATTATAAATTCTGCAGTTTCTTCTTAATGATCATGAAAGTACTTTCATTCTTTTCCTAGATGGGTCTTTTAAGCTACACGTTATTTGTCAATAAGTAGCTTTAAAGCAAGTGGGATGTCTTCAGCACAATGTTACGTGAAAGTATTTAATTATGCATGTGTGGTAAATCAGAGAATCAACAGATGATTCAGCCAACCATGTGAAGAAATCTCACCCAGTTATGAATTTCCAATACCATCTCAGTGACCCTTCAGTCAGGAATTTCAGATTTTGGGGTACAAATACCTTGTACTTGCTGACCCCTTAAGAGTTGTACACCCAAGAAACCCCCAGCAGGTACGTTACCTTCCTTCTTTTTCCTCAGTCCTGACGACTCCGAAGAGGGATAAAAATGTTTTGTTATATTCTGTCAGTTTGCACCAATACTTCACCTTTCTCATTTTGGTTTTGCCTAAGCATGAAATAGCTCCTTGTACTTTGATTAAATAGGGGCAATACCAGACTTGGCTTTACCAAAGTGAAATTTGTAGCCTTAGGGGGAGTCGTGCCAAGGGACCTGCTCTCACTAGGTCACACCCCAGCATTGTGAAGAGAGATCTGCAGCTAAAACTACTTCAGGCAGTTTCAGCCTGAATACTCTTCCCCTTCGATCTTGCCAACTGCTGAGCCTTCTCTGCTATATGAGGTAGAATCAGCATCAAACAGAGGGGAGGCAGAGGAACCTGCCAGCACAAGCAGAGACGAACAGCATGATGCCAGTGAGAAATGTCAGCTTTTATTGCTACTTCCTTAGTTGACCCTTTGTGAACAATTGTTCTGAAGAGCAAGATTTCTTTTTCCCAGGATGTTGCCCGAGTAATAACATTTCCCACAGAGGTGATGAGTCTGTCCTTAACCTCTGACTGTTAGACGATAGGTTTTAGCAATATTTCCAAATGTCATTGGTTTTAGAGAGAGATATATGTGTGTCTGACATCTCTGAAAGTTAGTGATATGCCAGAATTCTCTAAATCTCTAGAGGGTGTCAGCTTAAGTGTACTAAGTTACCTAATTTACCTTCTCCTGCAAAAATCTTGCGTGAAGACAAGGCTCCAGTGGATGGCAATCTGATATTAGCAGTTCAGTGAAACTTCTTATTTCACTGCTCCTACTCTTTCTCACGATTAAAGGCACAGGAAAGAGTAGATAATGCACCTACTGTGACAGTAGCTTTCAACATCTGTAGACCTGGGCTCAAACTCCTACCCTGCCATGGATTTTCTTTGTGGTTGCATATCAGTGTCAGTTCTGCATGTTTAACAGGAAGGTGCAAGTGCATCCCTACTTTTCCCGCTGTTGTAAGGCTAAGTGCATCAAGGACTCTATTGCTCATATAGAACTGATGTAAAATTTCATATAGAAAGGTCAGCCTTCATGCATCTGGTTTGTAAAGGTGTGGCACTGAGGTGTTAATTTATCTCTCTGTTCTGCTAGAAGGGAGAATCTTCATTATTTTATTACGTGTTGCGTATTATCCACTGTTAATGAGTGGAACACTGTGTACAAGATGGCCCTTTGTGGATGTTTAGCCTGTTTAGGATGCAAGATTAGTTTTCTGTTTACATTGAAAGCAAGTGAAAGTGGATGTTTTCTCATAGCTGTTGCAAGCACAGCCTGTGTGCTAGAGATAATGGAGGGAAATGCAATGAAACTACTGGCAAGCAAGCACATACTAATACTGTATTTTATTGAACACATGCATCTTTCTTTAGACATGTCTATCTATCTCTATCTACTCCTACGGAGATAAATGTGTCTAAAACAAGATATGCTTTCATAGGGGGCTTGTTATACAACCATCAAAAGGGTAGATATATTGGTTTTGTTGTTTCTTAAGGGCTTCCCTTAGATAGGGACTGTGAGAGGTGGTAAGTTGAGCATAGCACCAACTCGAGAGCTCCAGAATCACAGACACTAAAGACAGAAAAAAAAGCCTATTAGGACAGCCAGTTCAGCTGCTTTGTTATGCAGAGTTATTCCCTGTTGTAGATTAACCAATATTTCTTCCAGTCCTGTTTAATTGTGTGATGCAGTGGCATCTCCATTGGGAGGCTATTACTGAGCTTAATAGATGGGAAGCTTATCTGACATTCATCTTAAATTTCTTTCTTTCTTTTTTTAGTTTCATGCCATTAATGGTGCCATCCCTCTTATACTCTAAATAATCACTTGCTCTACTTGATCCCTTTTCCAAAGATTAATGTAATGTTCTACCTTACTTGGAAACCAGCCAGCCAGAAATTCTCAGTTTTCCTTAATAAAAGTTCAGTTCCTTCAACCACTTGATTTGTGTTATTCCTTTCCATGCTTCCTCTGGTCTTTGTATTCTACTTGACCGTGATTGTTCCACATACAAACTCAGGTAAGCAACTCTCACTCCGTGATGTAGAACTTGTACAGTGTATTTTTATCAGGTGCTGAGTTACCTGGCATTAGACAAACACATTTCCTGTTCGTGCTGTTCTGTTCATTCTCACGTTTGGGGGCTTCCATTCGATTATATGTCTGGAGCTTCATCTGAGACTTCTGTTCCTCTTGCAACAAGAATTTATTATTTATTATTGCTTGGAAAAGGGTGTGTCTCTCATATATTGAAGATTTTTAGTTTTGAAAGCTTTGTAGGAGCTTGACATCAAATCATTGATTTCAACTTCTTTCCCAAAACCCAGCCTGTCAAGAAATACCATTTGTGCATTTTTTGATCACCTGTGCAGGGTAATGATATGTAATTCTATGGATTTCCTTAAGAAAGGATAAGACTCACAGAATCTCTGTGTATTCCGTGGCCAAATATTAGTTTTATCTTGACATATCTTCCAGAAATACCATTTTATGACAAGGTAGAAGAGAAAATATACTGTCAGATTTTGAGCTGAAATATTGTCTTGTATTCAGGTCTGTTTGTTTGGGGTTTTGTTTGTCCGTGTTTTTTTTTGTTTTCTTTTCTTTTTTTTTCTTCCTGTTTTTTACCCTGCAGTATGATTTCATGGAACGCTTGGATGGGAAAGAGAAATGGAGTGTGGTGGAGTCCCCACGGGAACGTCGAAGTATTCAGACCCTTGTTCAGAATGAAGCTGTGTTTGTCCAGTACTTAGATGTGGGTTTGTGGCACCTGGCATTTTACAACGATGGCAAGGACAAAGAACTGGTCTCTTTCAGCACGGTTATTTTGGGTAGGTATCTCCACACATTCTGCATCTTTCCTCTGTGTTTATGCCTTCCCTTACGTAAAGTCATAATACGTTCTTGCAGTCTTCAGTATGTGGCCTGCTTATCCTTCTGTTCTGCTCGGCGTGGTTTTTTCTCAATGCTACTCTGTCGGGTTGGGGTGCTGATTTTAGTTGCTCATTTCTCCTAAAAGATTTTAGTGTTCCCATAGATCTTGAGCTTAGTTCTGGAAAACAAGGATCAGGAAAGTCTGAGATTGAAGCATTCCCCAGTTAACATTCCTCTCCTGAGCTCTGTCATTTTTATACCTATCTGCTTCTCTGGAGAAGCTTCTTTAAACTCAGGTGGAATAGTATCCAGCAGAAGAGCTGATTTCTTCATAGGAAGACAGTGCAGGAAACAGACACCTCAGAGATTGAGTCGGTTAATTAGTCCTTTGCTGGTTTACAGCTTACTAATTGCTTAATACTGGGTCATCTCAACACAGTAGAATTGAGAGCAGAAGAACGTCTAGAGTGGGATCCGAGAAGCCCAGAGTTTTGGTAGAAGAATTGGGTTGCGTTTAGTTGAAAAGCAAGCCAAGTCTAAATTCTCCAAGCTTTATCAGAAGATTTGTTGAACTTCGAAGCACTTTATGAACTGGATATCTTGTCACAGTGGCGTAGTCTACATAGTATTCTGTCCTGGCTGGTGAAGTGTTAAATGGCACTGTATTGTATAAATCTGTAAGT